AATAACTTCTCAGTTCCTCTTGAAGAGATGGATGTACCTCAGGGCTCTAGTCTTCAGTTGGTGAATATGACCATGTAGATGTGATTCTAGCAAGGCACTTCAATCTGCCTGCCTGCTGGGATTTGCCCTCAGGTACTTCTGATGTCTTCACTAAAGGATTTTCCTCTGGGTAGCTTTTGTCTTTTCACTGGGAGTCCCAAATTGAACATACTTCCAACTAACCAGCTCCCCAGAAGCTAGGAATCAAGGACCCAAGTGGAGCTGTGCCCACGTTTACAGTACAAACTTGGCTAAGACAGTTGACCTTCAGGTTTTTGAAGAATTGTTCTTGTTGTAGGGCTCTAAGATTGCGTGTGAGTGTGTGTGGGGTTTCTTTTTGCTATCAAGCAAATCTCAGTGTCTGAGAACTCATGATAAAGGCCCAATTTTTCTGTACAATTGGGAATCTACAAAAGACTAGAAAAAACAAGAGTCAGACAGGACAGTTAAGAAAAAACTGGAAAAGGAAAAAGGGAGGATTTCATTATTTGTTTTGAAGGTCACTGCTTTCCCCTAGTGAAAGTACTCCTTTTACTAGGAGTACTTAGTAATTCAAAACTTCTGATCTGGAGTCAAACACCATATGCTTCACCATGATGTCAATAATAGCAAATTACTTTTTGTTTGTCCTACACTATTATTTAGGTACAAACCTGTTGGCATGACCTCAGTAAATGGCTGGGCTCTTTTAATAACTTTGATATTTCTGTCTGATAACTTAGATTTGTATATGAACAACAAACCCAAAGGAAAAAAAAAGAAAGTTGAGAGTCCTCAAATTATTGGACAGCTTTATTTCACTTTTGACTTTCAGTTTGTCTTCAGCCTTACCACTGACTCTCCATGCCTCTTGAGAACGATCTCTTTTAAAAAGTAAAGCAGAAGGAAAGGGTTAGTTAAAAAATCAATTCCTTGAAGTGTACAAATCACTTTATTTTTGGCAGGAGTGTGCAGAGGCCAAAATTAACCACGGAGGGATTCGAACCCTCAATCTTCTGATCCGAAGTCAGACGCCTTATCCGTTAGGCCACGTGGTCCCCGCAAAGGATTTATCACGTTAGCCCTTGAATGTATAATAAATTCTGCCATGTCCGGAGTCTCGCAAATTCCATATTGATTCAAGGGCCCTCGCAGCCCACGCTTTCTGTCTTGCAAAAATGGAACCTTTCTGTGGGTCACGGTGTCGGGTGTTGGGAATGGTAGGAACCAAAACAAAACAACAAAAAACGGTAATAAAAAGAAAGAAAGAAAGAAAAGGGCAGGAGTTGAGTCTTAAGTGCTTGTAGGATAGGACGCTCTATGGAAAGTCATTTACGACTTCCCAAGCAGAAAAACCAAAAATATTGCATATTGTTCGCATCTAGGTGTATTTTAAAATAAATTCACTCAAGAATTCCTCCTTACTAATTCACCAGTTTCAAATTTAGGTACTTGGGGTGTGAACCTATGCAGTTGTCCAGGAACTCACCTTAAGGCAGCATCTGCACCATTGCCACTCTGGCTTTCCTTCTCATGCTGTCATCACACTTTCCCTGAAGGCTACGTGGAGACAGAGTGTTTTTCACAACATGTCCTTGTTAAGAGAATGCTCTTTCTGGTGTTTCTCAGAGGTTTAGAGGGGACCAGGGTCATTACTCTTTTTTGAGGTGCAGAATCAAATTTTGCAGGAGTGTGTAGAGGCCAAAAGTAACCACAAAGGGATAATAGTTGTGGCTGTGAAAGGCTGACTATAACATTCTGATTGTTGATTGCCTGGGCATTTGGCACCCCAAGCCCCACATTAAGGGTGAATTGTACACTTAATTTTGCCTGTCAATGGCGAGAGAGAAGGAATAATAATAATAAAAAGTTCATAGATTGTGAGACACTTTTACAGTTTGTGATAAAAACAAACCACAAATCAAGAATTGGACTGCCAATTTGAAAAAAAAAAAATCCAGACTTTCTAATAGAATACTTTGCTCTTATTGGCCATGTTTTCTTATTGTACACAGAATGAGAAAATTGGAAACTCTTAACCTTGCACACTCACTCCTTATGATGGGCCCCTTCCCTGTATCTTCTGTCACAACTCCAATCTGTAACATAAGATGTAAAATTTCAAGTGCTCCCTTGACATCTTTCAGTGCCCAAGGCCCCCCAAGCCCTGTTCACCTGTTCAACCAGACCAGGTTCATCCCATCAACACCAGCACCTTATTGGGTATTACCTTCCTTTGATCACAGTTAAAACAAGCCAGTCATATCTTCTGGAGGGGACCAAGGGTCACCTACTCTCTGATTACTATAAAGTCTCCATCTCACAGTCCTTTCTTCTCCCTTATGCATTTTTGGGGTTCCTGCATGTGTGGTGCCCTCTTCTTCCAGTAGCTAAGAATATATGAGTAGGAAGCAACTGCCAGTTTCATCTGACCAGGACTGAGTGTTGTGTGCTCAGTGTTTAGGGGAGAGGACCCCTCCTCCACCAGCGGGTGACCAGAACACAATCAGCACACAGTCATTTTACTTTTATCTCCAGATCCTCCCCCCTCCAATCTCCCTTAGCTTCTTCTTTCACAATGAATCTTTTGTAGTTTCCTGGGAACCTTAACTATCTTCTTGGCAATCAAGTTTTGGTATAAAATCTGCTGCCTTTCCTGAATTAGGTCATTGCCAGGGCAAAGTTAGTGTAGCAAATCTGTTTCATTCAGTTTTCACTTATCTCTTTAGCCATGGTGATCATCCTTGGTCAAACTCTGAGAACTAAAATGATGGGTTAGTCACATAATTACCAGGTTAATATGTTATACTATATACCTGTTGCAGTGTCACTGTGAACAAGGTTGTGTGCATATTTAAGTAAACATGAAGATTCACAACAGATACAGGGTATCGTGATGTCTGGTCTGTTCTGGGTCTGGTCATGTGGTGTGTGGCTAGCTCCCACTTAAGAACTTAGGACTCCAATACTCAAGTGGACTTTGCTGGACAAGCATGGCTTACACATGTCCCTGCCATTCACAACCAGACAGAAAGTATCTGAATCAACCTTGAAGACAGAGGACAAGCAAACTGTCTCTGGTCTTTTCCTGTATATATATAACTGTTATCCTGGTGTTTCTGTGCTGCAGTACATCTTAACTGTGAGACTGTCTATACTGAGGTCAGGTGAGGCCTTCCAAGGAATCACAAAGCTAGTGGGTAGCGATGGGCCCCTGGAAACAGCATCATTTTTCCTTCTCATTGCACCTAGTATATAGAATCCTTTTAAAGAAGTATCTTTCTGTATTCTAGATACATATTTACTTAATACCATGTGTAGAACTAGACTACTTGACGCTTTTTTTTTATTGCCTAGCAGATTATCTATCTAACACATAAATAACATAAAGGAATGCTTTCTGACAGAGAGAAATTTATATAAAACAGTTCATGGATAAACATTTGTGTATTGTGTGTTTTTGAAAATGAGCACAGAGAATAGTTCTGTTATAGATTGTAAAGAAAGGTAGAGACACATGCATCAGTTGTTTTCTCAGTTAAGAATTTAATAGTGACCACCAAACTGCGATTTATTTACTGCAAAGATGAAGTCTCATCGTTGAAAAGAGTCTATGCTGGAATGAACAGTCTACTGAATTTCTAGTATGTTGCTTAGTCACATGAACACAATGATCTAAGGAGTAGTGCTCTCTGAATTATGTATAGAGGAATAAAACTCCCTATCTCGGTTTCTACCCTTCCCCTCAAATCCCCACTCAAGTTTATTTCGGTATTTTTTTCAGGCTACATAGGGCAACGAAGAGGTAGCAAGAATGGTAATATGGTCTCTCTGGCAACCAGAAATGTTTTATTCTGAGGCTATAATATTTAAAAATGATAACTGAGTGATTATGAACATTCTATTTATCTGTAAAGTCTCATTTTTATTTTCAGGGTACGAATTTAATTTTAGCATTAAAAACGATGTCCATTTAGCTTTCTTAGTTTATTGTTAATACAAGCTACATCATTCTTAAAGATTAACATTAGCGCAGCAAAAACTAGCAGAGGATGGTTTCGATCCATCGACCTCTGGGTTATGGGCCCAGCACGCTTCCGCTGCGCCACTCTGCTCCACGGGCGTCGCATTGGCCCCATAATACTCTTAAGTCCATGAGAGATGATTTACTCAACTAAAGGAAACTACGGGAGTTAATTTATTAATTTCAATTATCTTGGCTACCACATTTTGCCAAATCCCTGCAATAATGCTTCTAAGAATCAAAGAACATAAAAGTCGACAAGTAAACATTTAACACATTGGTAAATGGATCCAGGGGTGCGGAGTACCTAGATATTTAAGTGAGAATTACAGATTTCCATAAACGGGGAAAGGACAAAATGCAAACCCGGAAAGGTGCTCAGGTTTCTGTAGCGAGGGAGACCGCTACCACGGAGTTCTATCACTACCTCTTCTTTTGGGAAGAAACCCCTTTTGGTCAGAGCTCCCTCGACTTGGCGATGAAAAGGTTGAAGTCTTGAGCTTTTTAAACTCCTTGGGGGCGGGAGGTTCGCCTCCGAGGGGCTTTGCAACAGGGAGCGAAATGGCGGGAGCTCGGTGAACTTCGGGGCAAATCTGGCATCGGCATTCCGAGGACGGCAGCTGTACTTTCAGACGTGCAGTCACCCCAAAGCAGCAAAAGATAACCATAAGGAAATGTGAATTTCTTTAGCCTGACGCAGTTTTTAAAGCAGTCCTAAGGTCCCACTTGGAGAAGCAGACGTCTCTGGCAACGCTTCCCCGGAGCGCAGGCTGGCGTACAGCGACCCTAGTAATCAGTGACGTCACCGTGGACGCGCCCATGAGGGGCGGAGTTAGCGGAACGGACGTTCCCGCGCGCGCGCCTTCAGTCTTCAATTAGGTCCGCAAGTCACACATATAAGGAAATTGCCTTTGTGCTCTCCCCATTTCTCTGGAGTCTTCTCGGAGGCAGTCTAATCATGTCCGGCCGCGGCAAAGGCGGGAAGGGTCTGGGCAAAGGCGGCGCCAAGCGCCACCGCAAGGTGCTGCGCGACAACATCCAGGGCATCACCAAGCCCGCCATCCGCCGCCTGGCCCGGCGCGGCGGCGTCAAGCGCATCTCGGGGCTCATCTACGAGGAGACGCGCGGGGTGCTCAAGGTCTTCCTGGAGAACGTGATCCGCGACGCCGTCACCTACACCGAGCACGCCAAACGCAAGACGGTCACGGCCATGGACGTGGTCTACGCGCTCAAGCGCCAGGGTCGCACGCTCTACGGCTTCGGCGGCTAAGACGCTTGTTTTGTCTGATACTTAGTAACAGCAACCAAAGGCCCTTTTCAGGGCCGCCCACATACTCCGTAAAAGAGCTGGCATGTTGTGTGTTAAAAGGAGCCTTCGTTGGCTAGAGGGTAGCTCCTGTGCCTTCAGATGAAGATTCGCGCAATTGTGTATTCCTGTCTTTGTGAATTTGGCGCGCGAATCTTGGCGGAAGCGAGCGCTGTGAAGTGCAGGGTGTAGTGGAGCAGGCTTCGTGGCGTGAGCTCTGCTCAGGTGCTGTTTTCTGTGTTCCGCCATTTGAAGTGCCTGGGTTTTGAACCGAGCGATTAAGCGCGGCCGGCATTCCCGCTCTGCGGGTGTTTCGGCTCAAAATGGCAGCCTGGGGAGGCAACAAAGCGCGCGCGCGCCGGCCTCTTAGAGGGACGGACGGGCGGGTGGCGGCGGGGTGAGGCGTGGAGGGGCGGCGGGGCGGCGGGGCAGGGCGGGGCGAGCGGGGCTGGCTCGCGCACGGATGACCGGACCACCGGGCGGCCGCGCGGCTCTGTGCTGGGTCGGCGCGTGCGCGGCTTCCGGTGTCTGCCCACGAAACTTCGAAGGGTTCTGGCAAGAATATACGCCCGGGGAGAGCTGGCAGGTATTCAGACTAACACTTCCCTAACGGCGAGGAAGGCTTGCTCATGAGTAAATGTGGCTGAACTGAGCTGCCTTCATTTCTTTGAAGTGCATGTACAGACATCGAGGGATCTCACCCCAAATAATACACAGTAGGAGCCCGTAGCTGCCATGTAAGTACACTTGACCGAAACTCAATGCTCGCGTATCGTCAATTCACGTGAAAAAAAATGCCAGTTATGCCCCAACGGTCTGTCTCAGGGCTTTACCTGCACAGTTTGTCTATTCATCTCACGTGTGCCCTAGGTTTCCTGTAGACGAGTACGTATCATGGTTTGACTGGTTTCCTGATGGGGCCATTTTACTTCCATACCGGCTCTATCTTGTAGGCTACAAGTGATTCACATAGACTTCATTGAAATCACACTTCTTTTTGGTTCTTTTTTTTTTTCTTTTTATTGCTGTTTTTGTATTCTCATTTTTTTTTTCGTTTCTTTTTCTGTTGAGCATTATATATGCACGTGGTGTTTGTTGTACTGCATTAGGGGCCTATGATGCCAGGTTCATCTAAATTCAAAATGCTAGATTGCTACTTGAGAATGATTACTACCATTGTAAAGTAGGTTTTCCCTCCTTGTCAGCAAGTGATCATCTGTAAGATGCTCTGAGATATGGCAAGGCACTGAAGTAATTTTGAATCACATGTTAAAGATTTGATCTCTAGAGCTTAAATATGAAGAGTCGGATATTATTGGAGTTAATTTACTGGCTTGAGGGAAAAAATTATATAGGGGTGTTAGCTTAAAAAAAAAAAATGTAATGTGCCAGATACTTTTCTGTGCTCTGGGAACTGAGCAATAAACGAAGAAATACATTTCTCAATCTGTGGCTCTTATATTGGGGGAGGGGGAGCACATACACAAAAACTATGTAAAACATAGGCGTGTCTCACATGGTGCTAAGTCCATGTAGGTGCTCTGAGGTAGGAAAAGGCAGTGTGTGCAGGTAATGAGTTAATGAAGACTTTATTGAGGGAGTGATGGATGGAGAAAAAAAGATGAACAGCATGTGGGAGTATCCCAAAATACAAGGGAGACCAAGAAGGAAAGCCTGGGAGGTAATAAGGAGTTATGTGGGTGGACAAAAGGAGGGGGAGGTGGTATGGAGGAAAGACATGAGGTTTGCAAGGCGGAAGTCTTGTGGAGTTTTAAACAGAGACTGGACCTGATTTTATTCATATTTTAAATGAGCTGTCTGGATGCTTGGTGGAGAATAGACTGTGGTGGGGCAAGGGTAGGAAGAGGGAGACCCGTTAGGAAGCTACTACAATAATATAGTTGAGAGGTGATGGGCTAGACTGTTAGTGGTGGAAGCTGTGAGAGTGGCTGGAACCTATATTTTTAAGATACTTGATAGTGATTTTCTGAGCTGGTGAGTGTAGGGTATGACAGAAAGAAAATCTCACTGATAATTTCAATAATGTTTGCCATAGCAGCTGGAGTGGAGGTGCCAGTTAGTAAAATGGAAACAAGTTTTGGAGAGGAATCCAGCTTTAGTTTTGGACATGCAAAGTTTAAAATACTTATTACATCTAGGAGGAAGATATGGCATAGGCAGTTAGACAAATGAGTGTGTTGTTTAGGGAGGAGGTCTGGAGTAGAATTACAATTTGGAGTTGTAAAAATATAACTGCCTTTGAGAGTAAAGGAACAACAAGATCTGATGACATCCCTTAGGAAAGATGGTTCATAATGAGAAGAAACAGCTAAAGAACTGAGCCTTAGGTGAGGTAAAAAGGGAATGTTTGCTGTTTTCATAATAGGTGGATTTATAACTTAAAGACTTACATTGCTTTCTTCTGTTATTTTTCCCTTTGATTTGAAGAACAAGTGGAATAACTGTCCTTGTTTTACAGGCCCAGGGAAATGCCCTCAGGAATGAGTATGTAAATAATCGAGGTAAAGTGACAGGGAGACCACATTGGAGATCCAGTGATAGATGTATGTGTGCTTCCAAGGTGCACTCACCCCGCCCACACCTTTTGCATGTACTTCAAGGTGTTCTCAGGCCTCCTGAAGCCTGTTTGTGGAACTCAATTTAAGAGTCTTAGCCTAGTGCTGCCTTTTCTCTTCCCTTAGCTTCAGTGACTTCTGGTCTCCTTGATCAGAGAGATCTTTTGTCTCTCTTTGACCTTAAGAATGGTGTTTCATAGTCAGTGTGAAGATACTGTTCCCATAATGATGTAGACATGAAATCATCAATCCAGAAGGTTCCTTTGAACTCCAGGCTGAGATCCAGGTACTTACTTGACATCTCTACTTGGAAGTCCACTAATACCCATTTCCAGTTTAAATAGGGCCTAATTTCTGACATAACCTCTCCAAACAATTCTTATCATCATCTTGAATTTGGTCACTGGCAATGCCAGTCTGTCAGCTGGAGTTATTTGTCTTTTTCTTTCACATTCTATCTCTAATCCTTTACTAAGTCCTGTCAGCTTTGACTTAAAAACAAAGAATCCAAGCATTTCTTCTTCTCACTGCTACTAATTTGACCAAGCTTCTGTTCTTTCTCACCTTTGTCACTGCAGCCCATTCTTCCTCTAGTTTTGCCTTTGCTGATTTCTTCACAGAGCAGCCAGAGAGATTGTAATAAAGAGTAAATTCAGGTCAGGCCACTTGGCTAAATACCCACCAATGGCTCTCATTTCAAAGTAAAGGCCAAAGTTCTTCCAGTGACTTACACAGACCTGCTCTTTGGTCCTTGTACCTGAAATGGGGGCGCTTTCTAGTCCAGAAACACAGTGCCTGTTACTTTCTCAGGGCAAGTGGACAGTGTAGTGGCCAATATGTCTGCTGGGGCCACCCAGCTCTCAGACCTCTGGGCATTGCTCCCCCTTCTTTCTTCAGGTTGTGTTAAAGTACTATCCTTTTAGTGGCCACCTGCTTCATGTCACGTTCTATTTAGAAAATCAACATACACACCCATGACAAGTGGAACAGGACTGGAACAGTAAACAGTACAGCAGTAAAGAGAGGTGTGTATTTCAAATCCATGCCAAAAGCGGCAGCAGAGACTCAGATCAGAAGTTGGTGCTGAATTTCGGAGGCTGCCAGGCCAGTTACAGGAGTCTGGACTTTAATCCAAACAACAGGGAACCGTGCAAAGTGGTTTTTGTTTGTTCACCTCCCGCCCCCAAAAAATTTCCTTGAACTCCAAGCTCAGAGATTTTTCTGATTAGGGATCAAGTATGTTTTTACAAAGCCAGCTGTGCTTAGCACATTGTGTTTATGTGCTTATATCTCTTTTCCCACTAGAATGAACTTAATCTGAACTCTCATGTGCCCTGGGTGAGTGATCACAAGAGAGAAGAGCATACATGAGCTTACAATAAAAAAAGACTTTAGTGTATGGAAAAGACCTTGCAGAAATTTCGACAGTATCTTAAGAAGGATCCTTCTGAGAACAAGTCTTATATAAATAATCTGTAGTGATTTTGGCAAAGTACCATATATTGTCTTTCTAGGCATCTATAGACTTTTGGAGTGTAAGAAGTAACTTTTCTTTCTGAGAAACAAATTGTTAATACAAGCAACATTTAATAGCTTAAGAAAGGTCCTTTTGGGACTGACCTTTGGGAAGGACCTAACGTATTTATATATTGTTTATTTGTAAGTTGTAATATATAAGCCTTTGTGATTTATAATCTATAAATTTATAAGAAAAAGTTATAAGAATTTATAAGAAAAAGTACACATTAACTACATGTACAGTTTATTAAGGGTTATAGATGATCCCACTTGAACCCATTTGCCAACCTGGTGTATACATATTACCAATATATTAGTTGGACCTAAACTAACCTCCTGCTACCCCACGAGGGGTAATCACGGTCCTGAATTTGTTCACTTTTTGGTCTTTGTTCCTTATCTTTCAAAAATACACAGGCATTTATACTTAAATAGCATATGCTTTATTGTTTTGTTTTTGCTATGGAAACATACTATCTGTAGAAATGTCTTATTGTTCCAAAAATTTGCAGCTATACTTGGTGAGAAGATTTTGCTTTGTGTCAGTTAGGTTTGCCTTTGTGATTGACTCTGGTCAAAGAATGTGAGTGAAAATGCCATGTCCCACTGCTGAGTAGAGACTTTAATATTCCTTTAGCCTGATTCCTAAAATGAATTAGAGCATTAACTGACCCACCGTCAGTAAACAGTATGAGCAAACATAAACATTTACTATGGCTAATCACTGGGATTTTAGGCTGTTTACAGTAGCATATCTGGCCTAAATGCACTGACAGTTTTACAGTCCTAGTTTCTGGCAATCCATCTACTCAGGGAGATGGAGTTGCCATGTTGTCATACATGGCTAAGCTCACTTGTTTCCAGCAATTGCAGGATTACACTTAATATTATGCTCATCTATCTATTCTCCTTGGTGGATGTCTGCCTCTCTTATTTTCAAAATATCCAGACTACTCTGGATGAAAAGTGGAACAGGACTGAAACAGTAAACAGTACAGCAGTAAACAGAGGTGTGTATTTCAAGTCCATGCCAAAAGTGGCAGCAGAGACTCAGATCAGAAGTTGGTGCTGGAGCTCTGCTGGAGCATAAAATATTACATACAATTTTTGTTGGCATGTGAACTACTTCATAACAACTTTATTAGTAACAATATATGTGTGGACTACTTAAAATAATAGAAAATAAGTTTTGGAACATGAGAATGAAAAGAAGACACAATTTTAGGAGAAATAGTAAATAAAATGCTTTGACCCTGCCCCCCTACTCTGATGAACAGAGTTGATTCAGGGGCTCTTTTTTCAATTTTGAAATGCAATTAAAACAAGTCAGTGGTTCCTAAATCCTCATCCATGGAGTCAAAATGAGAAATATGTCAGTGTAGAACATTTTTAAGAATGAGTTCAACTGACGGTATGAAGAACCAACTTTATTTGGACAAAGGTTTCTTGAGTTTTTTGTTAATTATCTCTGTGGTGGCAAAAGGACAGTTCTTTTGTAAGATTGCCAGTAATCTAAATGGTTGGCAACTTTGGAACTGTCTTGGGGGGGGGGGTTTCCGTTTGTTTTTCGTTGGTGGACAGTGACTTCTTTCAATTTCTTCAAGCTTTAATAAAAGTGTAGCTGCTTTTCTGAAGATGACTCTCATTCCCGTCATACTGCAATGAGAGTAGGCAAAGGAAGCAGGAGATAGGAGAGGAAAAAGAAAAAAATTACTAAACTACTTGTGTGAGTTTACAGCGTCTCCTCCTACACCCTAACAAATCCAAACACTAAATGATGCCCCCTCATTCTAGGGAGGCATGAGAAATCCCCTGGAGAAGAAACCAACATTGGCTGAACTGGCAAACTATGGGCACTAGGCTAATTGTTCTGAAGTTTGGATTATTAGAAGGGGTTTGGATTGTTATTCACACTGCCAGACAAGAAACCCTAATTGCTGTCAGATGCTAGGTTTTGTAGTCCACTGTCTATTCAGTTCCTTGGGATGTTGCGATTCCTCCCTATTGTTTCAGCCAGAAGACTTGGTTCCCCTGTGCAGACACTGTGCTAAGCACTTGCCAGTGCTCTTTTGGGTCACCCCAGCAATGCCATGCAGTAGCTACTAATTATTCCCATTTTAGAGGCCAGGAAATGCTCACAAAAGATTTAAATAATTTGTCCAAACAGCATTAAAACATGCCACGATGGTGGTGTCCCTTTACCCATGCTTGTATATTGCTTTTCATGAACACAAGGTTTTAAAGTGTATTTAAAATTAAATTTGGGAAACAAGAAATGAATCCCTTAATTATATATGGGGTTTAAGGAACTTCTGAAGACTACTTACAAAATTGAGTGACTTATTTAACATTTACAGAAATCTGCTATGTAGAACTTATATATAAAGGTGTGTAGCCAATAAACAGAAATGAGATTTCTGAACTGAAGTTTTATACTGTTAATGACCTCCACGTCTCAGTGCTCAAATTTAATTTGCTGTCTGGTGATCCTTAGTTTCCAAAACTCTCTTTGTGTATACACGTAGATGTATGTATTGGGTAAGTACAGCAAAGCCTTATGATTCTTTTTACTGTATCTATTTTTGAAAGAATATTTAGCTGATGTAAGTACTTTGCTGTGCTTCAAAGAGCATGAAATTTCAAACCAGTTTTACTTATTGTAATGCTTTTTTTTTTTTTAAATTTGAGCCTATAATTTCCCCATTCCTATGATTGCAACTAGTTCCTTGCCTAGGCAAAAATCTTATCAATTTAAAGTAGAAAAAGTTGTAGAATTAGACAAGAATTTAGATTCCATTATTTAGATTTCCCATTATTTCTGTAATGGGAAAGCTATTATTTATTCTTCACATGACTTACATATAAAAGGGGAGATTCAGTTTCACAAGAGGTAATTGTGGAATAAAATCGGTACTAAGCCAAAGAGGACCGCACAAATGCTAACTTCTTTTAAATAAAATCCCAGCGAATGAAATAATTGTGGAGTGGCTATTACAGGCGTCTCAGTTGTAGGGATAACTCAGGAAAACCCTTGGACTTTAAATTCAGGGGCTGACAGCCTAAGTCCTCAGGCTGGGAACCACAGGCTGTTGGAGAGTAATTATGTAACAGTGTCGACTTTCACTTCCTTCCTTCCCTCAGGTTATCCTGTTTGTTTCCCTACACTTTCCTACAGTAAGTTAAGAAGAAAACTTAAATGACAGAAACTCCTGACTTTGTCAAAAGAAAATACTGGTTAGGTAACGAACAGTATTTTGAAGAAATTGATGAATTTGGAAGGATGGGGATAGGTGCTGACTGGCATTGATGTTTTAGAAATGCCAAGCTGTTCACCAAATGTACTTCAAACAATTAAAACTGTTATAAAATTGGTTTCACTTTCTTCCTCGATTTTTTTTCTTGGATTTAGGACTCAACACTCCAAATTTTTCCTCTGGCTACTATTCTGTGAAAAGTATGAGTGAGAAAAAACAAACAAAACAAAGCCCTCTCTATCTGGTAGTTAAGTATAGAAAAGGTGAAATCAGAAGCCCAGTCTCCGGTTAGCAAGTACTAGGGTAGCCATGGAAAAGTGAATTAAACACAATATAGGTCCCTACACACTGAAAAAAGCCAAAACCAAAATAACACCTACCGATATGACAATCACGTTGATTGCTCCAACCACGTCTCTAATCTTTCAGGTTACAGACCTTTAAGAGACAAAGTGGGTGGCTCTTAAAAGAGCCTTTTGAGTCGCTGGTGCAGCCATAGTTGCAAATTTACTTGGAGCTGGTGTACTTGGTGACGGCCTTGGTGCCCTCGGACACGGCGTGCTTGGCCAGCTCGCCGGGCAGCAGCAGGCGCACGGCCGTCTGGATCTCCCGCGACGTGATGGTCGAGCGCTTGTTGTAGTGCGCCAGGCGCGACGCCTCGCCCGCGATGCGCTCGAAGATGTCGTTGACGAACGAGTTCATGATGCCCATGGCCTTGGACGAGATGCCCGTGTCGGGGTGCACCTGCTTCAGCACCTTGTACACGTACACCGAGTAGCTCTCCTTGCGGCTGCGCTTGCGCTTCTTGCCGTCCTTCTTCTGCGCCTTGGTCACCGCCTTCTTGGAGCCCTTCTTCGGGGCGGGCGCGGACTTGGCTGGCTCTGGCATTGTGTCACTTAGAAATGACTACAAACAAAATACGCCCACAAGCTCCGTTTTCTACATTTCTTTGGTGCATATGCAAATTAGGGATTGAAGAATGAAGAGTTCTGATTGGCTCTTTTCAGTATCTTAATCTCTGATAGGCTATTTTATTCCAAGTTCTTATTGGCTCATCTGTTAAGCGCAACCTTAAAGCAATTTCACCTTTCAACTCTAAGTCTTATGTAAATGAGAGGCGGTGTCTTCCTGGACATTTGTGTTTTGATTGGCTGAGATCTGTGGTCGATCAATAGCACAGACTGTTTTACCAGACGATGGCAGAGTATAATTGCCTAGCTCGTAGCCTTCTGTGAGATTTCATATTTTTAGTGAGCAGTACTTAACTTCGACATTATGTCTGGACGCGGCAAGCAGGGCGGCAAGGCGCGCGCCAAGGCCAAGACCCGCTCCTCTCGGGCCGGGCTGCAGTTCCCCGTGGGCCGAGTCCACCGCCTGCTGCGCAAGGGCAACTACGCCGAGCGGGTCGGGGCGGGCGCGCCGGTGTACCTGGCGGCCGTGCTGGAGTACCTGACGGCCGAGATCCTGGAGCTGGCGGGCAACGCGGCCCGCGACAACAAGAAGACGCGCATCATCCCGCGCCACCTGCAGCTGGCCATCCGCAACGACGAGGAGCTCAACAAGCTGCTGGGCAAGGTGACGATCGCGCAGGGCGGCGTCCTGCCCAACATCCAGGCCGTGCTGCTGCCCAAGAAGACCGAGAGCCATCACAAGGCCAAGGGCAAGTGAATGAGCTAACATCAGTGTATGCGGTTGCCGCCTTTTTAACACAAAGGCTCTTTTCAGAGCCGTCCACATTTTCACAAAAAGCTTGTAACATCCTGCTTTGTATCCAGGCTATTCCGCATGTGTAATCACCATAGAGAGCTCGCAAGTTGCTTTATTAGTGACTGCATGAATGTAGTACTGGGAAACAGCTTAGCATCTTAAGGATTCGGCATAATTGGGAGGGATGAAATTACAAGTGTCTTTTAAGAACCTTAAGTAGGCAGTCTTCATCATTGCTACTATATCCTGATGTAAAAAAAGGGTTAAAGGGTAGGTGATCTTGGAATGTTGAGTAACAAAAAAAAACCCTTAGTCTATGGTCCCACGCTGGCTTTCAAATTATGAACTGACGCAAAATACCCTTTGGGTCACCGTAGGGAAGTTCAGTGAATATTTGATTGCACACTTCTTGCTGGTGGGTCCCGGGCCTTGAACTTTACCCGATTCCCTAAGTACTCCTCCCAGGACGCCTGTGAAAGCTTTCACAGGGTGGATAGGAAGTAGCAATCCAGGCTACTATTCACAAAAAATAGCCATAAGAAAAGAGTTATATTTCAAAACAGAAAAAGAGCAATACAGGTAACCTGATCTTAGTATAGTCCTTGGTATCTCAGTTCCCACTCGACACGCACGCACGCACACACATATACTGAATCAGAATTGGTATTTTCTAAGACCTACAGGCCCTTCCTTGCTTACTGTTTGAGAAAACGGCGGACTAGCCCAGCAGAAAATAAACTGGGTTGCAATGTGACGTACTTCACCCAATCAGTTTCCTTGAATCTTCAACCAATACGTTGGTTGCGCGGGACTTTTGAAAAGCGCAAGGCCAATCAGAATGTTTCTGAGTATATATAAAGGCAGCCTCTGGCGCTTGCTTGTGAACTTACCGTCTTCTCCGCTTTTGCTGTCATGGCTCGCACGAAGCAGACGGCTCGCAAGTCCACCGGCGGCAAGGCGCCCCGCAAGCAGCTGGCCACCAAGGCGGC